GCACTGCACTGCTGTCGCCACCCAACCCAGCCTTGCCCCAGGTCACCACGGATCCATCTGCAAGAATGGCTGCAAAAGCACCGTGACTGGCTTGAATCTGCTGCACACTCTTCAGTTGATCTTGCACTGCACGGCTGTCTGCACCGTAGTCAGCATTGCCCCAGGTCACCACGGATCCATCTGCAAGAATGGCTGCAAAAGCACCGTGAGTGGCTTGAATCCGCTGCACATTCTTCAGTTGATCTTGCACTGCACGGCTGTCTGCACCGTAGTTAGCATTGCCCCACGTCACCACAGATCCATTGCCAAGGACCGAAGCAAATGCCGCGGCATGAAATGCTCTAGTGGCACATATTGTGATGGGCTGCATTTGCAAGTTTAGGAAATCTTTGCTTCGCAGCTCACAGTCTCCAATTGTCTTTGCTTCGTCCAACACTGATCCGCTGGAGTGGACAAGTCTGCCCTGTCCGACCGAGAGAGCCCTCTGTGCACGTCGTTTGAATACCCCAAGCTCAACACCCAGTCCAGTTTCAATCTGGACTGTCCTTCCGCTCAGCAGGCCGACATGGAGTGTGATCGACATGATGCAAACTTGGACCTGCCCTGGCATGTAGCAAACAATGGAGCCTTGACCGGGTTTGGCTTAAGGGATGATTGCCTAGGGAGGAAGGCCTAATGTCGAGGGTCCTCCGTGGCCCGCGCGCTTTTAAAGGTATGCCCTTAAACTTAAACTGAAGCAAGACCTAACCCCAACCCCCAAACGGTGCTTGGAGGTTCAGGGTAATTACAACCCACTTATAACTTTTAACTATACATATGACACGTTTGTAACCAGATTAGGGGACTGAGATGGCTTAACTAAGTTTGCAGCACCCTGATAAGAACTTGCAGGTAACCCTTGAACCTAGACCTTAGGCGAAGTCCTGAACCGTAAACTGCTTTTCAAACCCTGAGCTCTCCTACCATCCCCCCCACGCCAAGAGTCCGGGGTTTAGGGTCTGCCATACCATTGTTGGGTAGGATGTAGAGTTTACTTGCAGGGCTCTTAATAGGGAATGAGGGAATGGAAAAGATGGAAACTGCTGCATTATTGGGGATTCTATAGGAACTATAATCTAAACTCCTAGTATACCCCTTCATAATCCCTATGATACTCCGCTATAATCCCCTGCATAACCCCCTCTTTAGCCTATGTACTACAAGTAGCCAGTCCTTTCTTGCTTGCTAGAGATACGGGGTTATATAGGGGCATGTACGGACATACAGGGTTTAGGGCTTAGGGCTTCAAGTATGCGAGGTTTCCAGGGATATGTGGCTCAGTAAGTTCTGCGGATGGTGTGACTTGATCCGCTTCCTGCCGAATGCAAAGTGTCACAGGACTCAGGGTTTACATGGTGGCTTCCCAAATTCAGGGTACTCATATATGACCACCGCCAAGAGGGTATAATCCTCTTTCTAGGGACCCCAAAAACGACACCCCTAATTTGTGGAAACCCCTAAATCGTGCTTAGCGGCATGATTCATGATGTTTAACCCAAGCCCATGCCTAAATCATTCCATGCCCTGAAGCCCAAGCGGAAGCCCGAAACCCTACATGCTCTAGGGTTAAGGGTTTGAGGCTAAACCCTGAACCCTAAACCCAAGCTCTCCAACCCGTAGCCTGGCAAGTCCTCACAAGATTTGGAGGTTCCCAAAAATGGGGGCACCATTTCGAGGGTCCCCATGATACTACTTATAACATTATGGGGTCTATATCCCATCTAGGGAAATTACCATTTCTGTCCCGTCCGTAGATGCATAGAATCTATTGGAATCTACCGTAAACTTGCCAAATACCCTCAGAATGGCATTTAATCCCAAAACAGAAAGGATGTAAAGGCTGCTGTGGGGTGTATTTGGGGGATCCGCTACGGAAATCTCTTGTGGGGGTCCCAACCCTCAAATTCCTCGGGCCAGGGATCCACCCTTGCGTGACCAGCAGCCACAGGTCGTCCAAAAGCACCAGCCTCAGCATTCCGGTTTACGGGTTTTGGGTTTAGGGGGCTTGTAGGACTATTTGAGAATAACTGGAAAAGAAAATGGAAACTGAAACGGAAGCTGGGTTATATAGTTTATAGGCAGACCCTCCACCCTGTAATAATGGTACAATAGGAATATACAAGGACCCTAATATAGTCACCATTGTACTTCTTGTCACTCGGACTGGGCGGGGGGTCCACCTAAAGTGAGTGGGTGTTTCTCAAGGGAGTTGATAGCGCTTCAAAAATAACCCTAAACCCTAAACCCCTAAATCCTAAAACCCTAAACCCTTGGGTGCATGTTGGACTTTAGGTTACCCAGGAAGGTTCAAGTCTAGTTCTTGGACAGGTGGGATTTACAGTGCAGAAAAAGCTAATGGGCAGGGTTTAAGGTTTAGGGTTTGGGGCTTGGGGATCTTTAGGAATATCCGAAAAACCTTAAAACCTAAACTTCAGGCGTGGAAGGGTGACTGCTTGAAGGCTTAGGTTTAGGCATGTGATTGGATGTGTGATGAGTACGGCAAATCCCAAACATTGCATCAGTGTTCTTTTCCATAATTCCTGTATAACCCTGTATGAAGTATAGCCTAAACTCCTTGACGGGGATTATATAGGAGTGTACTAAAGGGGGTATTACGGGGGATACCAGGAGTGTGGAGTATAGCTCATGTAATCCCTACGTATCCCTACAGGGGCTTGTTTTGGGTGAAGGCCGTGTTGCCGGCCTGAAAAGCTGGGGCAGGCTCTGTAACCTGAGACTTGAGGTTCAAAAGTTGGGTTGAGGGGTTGAGGCTTTGGGAGCTTGGAGCCCCAAATCCTGAACCCCAGAACACTAAATCCTAAACCCTAAACCCTAAATCCTAGACCCTAGATCCTAAACCCTAACGCGCAACCGGAAGATCCATGCGCGCTTTATGCTATGCAGTGTGCAATGTTCGGAAACGACTGCATTTTGCAGTGCATTTTGCTTGCAGGGGTTAATGTGTTCAAGGAACGGAGGGTGATGACTACGCGGATTTTCTTCTACATTTCCGCGCACAACCTAGAAGATGAGAATATTATCACTTTTTAGGAATCAAACTGTGCACAAAAAAAAGCATTGCTTTGGCACGCTGCGAATGAAAAGTGACATGTGGCACGCTCTGAACGTGCAAAGGTGCCTGGCCAGATTTAGACCCTGTTTAAAAGAACTGTGTTTTGCAGGTCGAACAAGGTGTAGCAAACGGAACACAGCGGTGACAGACAGGTCTTTTTCTGTGTTCGCGCGAACAGAAGCTGCATATGACATGCATTTTGTCCCACTACTCGCGGTGTTGTTGCTTAAGGTCTCCCGGAAATGACATAGACGTCGTCTCTCTGGGCGCAGTGTTTCTGGGACTAGGATGCAGATGCAATGCGAATGTTGTTACGGCTTGGGCATGGGTGGTCTGGTAATGGGATGCTCTCGAAGATGAACATTATTGTAGTTTGGGGATGGATGTTCTGGTAATGGGAAACTCTCCAACATGAACGTCATTATGGCTTGGTCATGGATGCTTTGGTAATCGGACGCTCTCGAACATGAATGCGGTGTTTTTGCACGAGGATTCCCGAAATACTACGTTTTGCAGGTCAAGATGGCTGCAGTTGAAGGGACCGTAATTATCCCCCCCCCCTCCACCCCGCCCCCCAAACTTCCAGGCAGAGCCAAACTTGACGCGGTCGATGAGACCTGGGCTGTGTGAGAACCCTAGGCATTGGGCGAACCCTTAACCCTAAACTCTACTCTCTTTCTTTGCTTTCGCTTTGATGTTTGAGGCATGACGCCGACATCTCCGGATTCCGGAAAACCATGACAAAGCTAGCAAGCCCCGTTTAGGAATTGAGGATTCAGTGGTTCAGAGTTTAGCGGTTTGGGGCTCGGGGTTGACAGATCATAGTCAAACACAACTGACCCCCAAACATCATCTACTCCACCAAGAGTCAGTTGCGCGAATCCCTCAAAAACCCATGCATGCGGAGCTCTCTTGGGTGGCAAACCGAAACACATGAACAGTTCAGGGTTTAGGGTTTTGGGTTAGGGGTCCGTGAAGTAAATACATGGATTCCCTGGACACTACGATCCGACCAAACTCCTTTGTAGGATACAAACTGTCCGTTCAAGAGCTACTACTTAGCTCCTGCCTAAGCCCATATGGCATCGCATCGTCACAAGGCAGACAGCATCGTCCCTTCAAAAGCTGCATCAGCAATGCCTGAACCTCTTATACCTAGTGCTACTGTGGCAGGCAGCATATCTGCAAAGGCCTGCTGGACTATGTCGAACTTGCTGTCCTCCAGGGCAAGCGATGCTGCGGGTGTAGGTTCAGGGTGTAGGCTTCAGGTTACAAATCTGCGCAGGGTTTCGTTTTCGAATGTGATAAGGAAAGCATGAAACTCCAAGTGGGTTTTCCGGCATTAAATGGTGCAGGGCTCCGTCATGTGCGGGATTTGGAATTCAGCGTTCTTAGGTCACGCTCCTCAACGTTCTTCAGGCAGCCGCTCGGGGGTCTCCCTAGGATGGCTCCAGGTTTAAATGTCGAGTCTGGGGTTCCCGGGTTTCAGGATGTAACGTCGAAATAATATGAAGAAGGCTTTCGGGTGTATGAAACTCGAATTACACGACGACCACACGCGCACACCCCTTTTGCTTTTTCAGGCAGCGTCTCAGGTTGAGTCCTTCGAGCTAGTTCATCATGAGTATTCAGCAGCAACCCCAAGCCTCAACAAAAAGAAAAAACTAATATATAGATATATGTATATCTGTATATATATCTATATTTCTCGTAACACGCATCAGGTCTGTGGTTGAGGCCCTGGCATGATCGATGAATCTGCATTTTGAACTGTGAAATTACAGTCCAAGCTTCGATGTTTGAGGCTTGGTATACAAAATACCCTAATCTTCTGTATCTACGGTTGGACCTCTTTTCCCCTAGTATGGGTGGGCCCCTCATCTTTGGGTCCTTATATACCTATTAAACCTATACAACCCTCGAAACCAGATTAAGCGCCCGTAGTTAGGACCCAGGAAACAGGTAAGGGGCCATGTAAAGGGCGCATATTCAAGACCTTTGACTCTAGACCCCCAAAATCTGAATTCCAAAGCTATGTTTCAGCACGTTAGACCCTCAGCTAAAACATGAGAAGGGCCCATGACCCCTTAAGCTCTCCTAAAGTAGAGAAAGGCATCTTCACAACACGATGTCTCTGAACGTTCAACCTTGCAGCCCAAAGCCTCCACCCCAAATCCTCGTTTGCAAAACTCCGCCCTGCAAGAGCATACCCCTGAACAAACCACAACTGGAACCTCCACATGGGGGCTGCTCGAAAGAAGGGTGCCCTTGGGATAGCGGCACATGTGGAACGTGGGGGATTTGTGCGACGGTAGCAAGCAACTGTCTTGCAGACACATGATACCTGTGCCAGGCCTTTGGCAAAAGGTCAGAGCAGCTGTAGAAATACATTCCCACGTGTGATTCTTTGTAAGCAGTCAATATTTGAGTGACAGGCACTTGAACCAGCCAATCACCAGCCCTGAACCTTGATACCTGTCAAACCCACACGTGTGTGAGGTCCACCATCAGGTAGCGAACATCGGGGAAGTCTTGCATGGTGTCCTGCAACAGAGGATGCAGAATGTTGTTCAAAAACTAGCAACATTGCATTTAGGAATACAAATCAACAGGTCGAAAACAAAGCGTCGTAAATAACAACTCCTCAACCTAGGCTGGTCGTCGGTGGGTTTTCAACTCCACTTTCAGGGCTTAGGGTTGGGGCTTAAGGACCATAATCGCCAATAGCAATCTCAACTTTGAAGTCCAGAAGCCGTACGGTACTCTTGCGTACGGCTTTGACGGCACATGCGTATGCTGTCCCCATCCAAACCGAGAAACAAATGGCTGTAGCTGGCGGAGCATACCTTGCTACATATTGTGTTGCCTCAGATTCGATGCGAACCCACCTACTATCCTTAGTATTATTCTTACAATGATTCCTATTGTTATGAGTGTTATTATTACCATTACTGTTAGGGCTTAAGGCCATCGAAGCTTGGGCCAGAAACCAACATCTCACGTGGACCGGGTTCAGGAGTTTCTCGAAGCAACTGCGATCTTCCCTTCACAACATCAAGAAAACATCCCGAGCTAGGCTTTAGGGTTTAGGGTTCATTCCGGGCCCCAATGATACCTTCTTTCCCTTTCTAAACCCGACCACCTTGTACCCTCCAACCCATATGGTCCAAAATGAAACCCATCTGAACAAAAGTTGGTACAGGGCAGGGGCCTGTGTGTTAACTCCACTTACCACAAGTGAGCCTCTAGACACCGTACACGGCAAACATGAACCCACACACGGCAACACCCCCATCCTCCCCCAAACCATGCAATGTGGATTCCCCAGAGAAAGCCTACAAAGACCATAGCCCCAGTTAAACAGTAACTCAGAGGGGGTTTCCTAAAATCAGGGGTACCCTTGCGGGCGTCCCAATAACAAGGACTAGAGCATATTGGGGTCGATATTGGGACCCCTGTTTTTGGAAACTACTATCGTGCTGCATGTTAGTTTTTGGGGGGCCCTGGAGGTTCCTGAAATCCTGCAATGCCACTCCAGCAGCCTCCACGAAGTCCGCAAGAAACAACTTGTCCGGGTGGCAATCGGGCTGAAGGTCCGGTGGTACCTTGGAAAGCACAATTTGCACCTTTGAACTGACAGCCCTAAACCCTAAATAGTAGCTTCCATTTTCTTTTCCATAATCCCTATATAACCCCAATATATACCCTATTGTACTGTAGTAGTTTCCATTTTCTTTTCCATTAGCCCTAAAGCCCTAAACCCTGTTTTATAAAAGTCTAAGGACTTCCCATGGTTTCTGTCATCACTAGCAGGTTTACAACGGTTCCTATCCAGAGGATGCCACACACTTTCAGAAGAAAGGATGCGCTCCTGCTGCCAACGACCCGCCATGCAGATTTCAAGATGAGCATGCGCCCAAAGAGAAGAGCGCGCTACCTGGTGCTACATGCCTCTTGTTCGACGGAAAACTCTGGAATCAACACGCCTCCCTAATGATGAAACCCTCCTTCCCTCCCACAAGTAAATGGCAAGGAAATGCCGCTTAGGTTATTTCGCGCATGCTGCAAGGAGTGCGAGGTGCCGAAGAAGAATTTCTCAAGGTCGCCCGTTAATATGTAATTCTCAAGATGGACTCCTGCAATCCACGTTTAGTCCGCCTGCATCCCTAGGTTCTCCAACACAGGGTACACGTTGCTCAAGAAAGCACAAACGATCCTTGAAGTGCTTCGGGCAGGTTATCGTCGAATCGTGGGTGTGCTGAGGGCACAAACGGTTCAGTACAAACAACTATTTCCTAAGCCATCTGCTTGCGCTGGAATGTTGAGAAGAACTTTCCAATGTTGCTCATATGGATTATCAAAAAAGCTCTAAGGGGACTCCATATGAGGGATTCTTAAGAGTGCCCCTGGTAATCTGAAAAAGGACCCTTGCCTTGTGTAAATCCAAACCCTAAATCACTAAACCCCAATCCATCAACCCCGAACCCTAAGTCCCTAACATCCTTCAGGACGCTTTGCTTTGAGAAACCTTCATACATGGAGCTATCGTGATGTCGGAACTTCTCAATTTTGAATTACCCTTAGGGGACCCAAGGAATACCTATAATCCCTGTAATTTCCATGTTCTTTTCCATTATCCCTATATAACCCCCAATATATATAGCGACTGAGGTACAAGGATTCTGGGGTCCCTTGCACAGCAAAGGCGGCCTCTCGTGCCACTCTTGACCCAATAATCCCTATTGCAAGCTGCCCCTATTGTAACCCATTTTACTAAGCAGGGTTACTAAGTCAAGATGGCCTCCAAGAAGCGCCTTCTTGAATATCCAGAACTGAATCAACTCCAAGACACCACGCCGGAGTCACACATCCTCCAATAGTCAATCACCTAAGCGAAACCCTGAACGGTTTGGAGTCTAGGGTTAAGGTACCCTTTACCATACTTGTCTTCTAATGGCGCACGACTTCCGAAGTTGCATCAAGTTTCGTAGGGCCTTGCAGGCTTCGTAAATTCATCTAACTGGGTTGGAGGGGTGGGTGTTGATTCCTTGTGGTTAGCCCATTGCGACTGCGCGACTGTAATAGCATGTGAGATCTTCTGAAACCATAAACCCAAAACCTAAAACCCGAAGCCTATATGATCCTTACAGGGCATCCCGAAACTCTCTCGTGACCCCTACAGGCATCTGTACATGTGTGTGCACATAAAGATACATACATATGACTGCATATGAACATATATATATATATGCAACCCCCCCCTAAAGATCTACCTTTTTAGTGCCCTTAACTCCCCCTTCATCTCAAGAATTTGCCCAAACACAGAACCCCTAACCCTGACGTCCAAAGTCGAAG